TACCGTCTCTCGCTTGCTTAAAATCCTGAAGAAAATGTTCTTGTTCCCTGTTTTGCTGCGTGGGCTTGGGTGGGATGTCTGTTGGCTCTGTTGTGTTTATTCACCAGTTTGTACATGATTTGTTGTCCTTTACTACTGTAAACAGTAAATATAGTTTGGTATTCTGTCTCTTGGCTTATGTTAAACACTGTATTTGGAGACTGCATATGTCACAGCTCATTATTGACAGTCTGTCCAGTCAGACATGGACAGAGAAGCCATTGCTGGAAACTTGTAGGTCCTGATAGCTCATGGGCCCCATGCTGCTCTGTGTTGCCTGCCCCATGTGTCCTTTGTGAGGACAAAGCTGGCTTTAGAGGCAGGGTCTTAGTATTGGGAGTCTCAGTCCTTTTGCTATTTGAATAGGTCATCTATTTGTGAAGTCGATGGCCTACTAATCTGTTTTGAAAATGAATTGATGCTAATTTGCCCATGAGGAGTTTCAGTACTTAGGTGAGACAAAACTAGGGTTGTCATTGCCCAAGCTATTTTAATGTGTCAGTTGAGCAGAAATACCAAGCACTTAGTTCATCCAGCAGCAGGATGCAGACTGAAGCACGTACAGAGACTGAGCCATTCCCTGGGTCTCTAAGATGACTCAGAGAAAGAAGGGCTGGTTAAATGCAGCAGCAGAGCTCCCGAGGGGAGGGGTGTGGCTCAGGTGCCATGCTAGTTACTTTCTCAATTCTGTCACGAGATACCTGGCAAGGAGCAAGCTAAGGAGGAAGCAGGATGGATCAGAAAGCAGAGACATGAGCATTGGTACTTGGCCCCCATTGGTTTACTTTGTATTCAGTTCAGACTCCAGTCCCTGAAATAGCGTGGCCCATATTTAGGGTGAGTTGTGTCATGACCACCCCCTTCCATCTCCCCACAGCCCTTAAGGCATACTCAAGGGTGAACTTCGCTAAAGCTCTAGATATTTCTTTTTTGATAAATCCATTCTTTGTCAACTAAACACCCAAATACATCACTTTATAATCTACTCGGCACTTAAAATTGTTTGCCTCCTATACAAAATGTATTCAGTCTGTTCCTGAGTGTCACCCCACCCTCTTCCATCTTAACTCCCACAAAGTTCAAAGTCTGCTCTGAGACTCCAGACAGTTTCTGAATCATGAACCCCTGTAAACTAAACAAGTTACTTCCAATATACAATAGCACAGAGTAAACATGCCCGTTTCAAAAGGGTGGGATTGGAGCATAGCAAAGGGAGATTAGGCCAAAGCAAGATTAATGAACTCTAGCAGGGCAGAAACCAAATCCTGCTCTATGTCTAGGGTCAGTGGTTCTTGGCATCCTTTGGGCCCTAGTGGCCTCAGGCAGTCCCACCCCACAGTTCTGTTTCCTGTGGTGCTGTGGTCTCTGGTGGGCCAGTACTTGGTGCCTGCAGTTTTTCTCACTGAGTATCCAACATCCCACCTTGCTGACGTCTCTAATGGGGGGGGGGGTCCTGTTACAGTATAGCCTCCACCTTGCTTTCTGGAATCTTGGCACAAATTTCCATTATTTCTGTCCCCTTACATCTTGCAAATATGGATACCGTCACCAAATTTGGCTGCCAGCTCCAGGTAAGGCCTGGCACACTCAGACCATTGTGGCATCCACCTCTGTGCTTGTGTGGCAGAGTCTGGGAAAACATCTCCCTGTGTGCTGTTTTCCATCAGGAACCCTGAAGGGTCTCTTTTCAAGCATTTTCCTTTAGGATAGATTTGCTTTTTATACCCCCAAGTTCTCACTTCAATTGTTGGGACATTGCCTTCTAGGAACCTTACCTATTATGCCAGTGCAAGGTCTCAGACATCTCTACAATGACAGTAGATTCCTTTAACAACTACAGCCAGTTTATCTCAAATCTGCCCTGCCCCCAACTTGGTCCAATCTCCATTTTCCACATTTCTCTGCACCACTTTCTGTGGGGACACCAGACCTTAAGCAGAGACCCATTTCCCCATTAGCCTTGGAGTAGGCAGCTGTAAGACAATATTTACTAAAAACAATGCCCGGGCATTGCCCACAGGAACCGCCCTGACCTCGACCTTGTCCAAAGACTAACTGCCTCTTCTGACACACCCAAATCAGTTTCTGGTGTCAGAGCAGAACCAGCCAGGGGAAGAGAGAGAGCAGAAGCTTTTCTGGAGGGAGGCCTTTCTTGGGAAGTTTTCTTGAACCTTTTTGGGGCCTGCTTAAAGTTTTCTTTACACCGTTGAACGAGTCTCTGTGTTGTCAATCCCCGACACCCTCCGCACGTTCTCGGACACAGGCTGTGCAGCGGGCAGGGCAGCTTTCTACTTGTTCTCACTGTAAATCTGGACAAATGCAGTGAACAGTAACTATGTCACAGCTGGGATGTTAGGCTGCCTTGAGATTTCTTCTGCCTAACAATTTAGCTCATTGCTTTTGAAATTCAGCCTCACTCAAGTTTTCAGGATGCAGATAAAATGAGCTAGAATAGTTATGGGAGTCCACCAGAGAAGACCACTCAGACACAGTCTGTAGTCAACTGATGGCCTTTATTCCATCCAGCTTGGACTACACGCAAGTAGTTGGAACTCAGATGTAGCTCTGAGTGTTTAGAGTTGTAGTTCTCAGCCTGTGAGTTGTGACCTTTTTGGGGGTTGAAAAAACCTTTCACAGGGGTTGTGTATCAGATCAGATATCCTGCATATCGGATATTTACATTATGATTAATAACAGTAGCAAAATTATAGTTATGAAGTAACAATGAAAATAATTTTAAGGTTGGGGGTCATCACAACATGAGGAACTGTATTAAAGGGTCACAGCATTAGGAAGGTTGAGAACCACTGGTTTAGAGTAAGGCTTTTTGTTTTGTTTCTCTGGTTTTTTGAGACAGGGTTTCTCTGTGTAACAGTTCTGGCTGTCCTGAAACTCAGTTTGTAGACCAGGCTGGCCTCAGACTCACAGAGCCTCCCGAGTGGAGTAAGATGTTTTTTTTGTTTGTTTGTTTGTTTGTTTGTTTTTTAGTTTTTCGAGACAGGGTTTCTCTGGGAGTAAGATGTTTTTAAAGTAAAAAAACAAAACAAAACAAAAAAAACCCACATCCTGTTATCTCAGCCAGCAACTACAGAGGGAAGTTTTGTGCAAGCAAGCGTTAGCTGGAACACAGGCTTCAACAGAAGCTAAGTTAACTGGGGCATCTTGACCTCAGGTTCTAAAATAGAGTGATGGTCCATGGGGCTGTCCAACAAGGATATCAGATTCTAGTTAAACCTAAAATGACCTCAGCAAGAATGCAAAATGAGGCAGGCAGTGGTGGCTCACACCTTTAACCCCAGCACTCGGGAGGCAGAGGCAGATGAATCTCAGTGAGTTCGAGGCCAGCCTGGTCTACAAACAGTGAGTTCCTGGGCAGGCTCCAAAAGCTATACAGAGAAAACCCTGTCTCAAAAACAACAAAACAAAAAATACAAAATGGAGGAGACTGCACTGTCTTGCCTGTCACAAACTATGACATGAGTGGTTGCCAGCCCAGTTTCTGATAGGGTCCTCTTGTTCCCCTCTGAAATAAAACTGTGAGTGGTCTTCGGTGGCTGCGTTTCTCAGCCTTCTGGTCTGGATTCCCACCAGGATGGTCCCTGTAGGAGTGCTTACAGCATTCTAGGGCTAGTCTAGCTCACAGCTCTGAGCTCTTGCACTTTCCGCCTTAAGACTAGCTCTGAAGAGCTGAACCACGTGGTCAGGTCTATCGCAGAACCACTTCATGCTCAACTTTTCCGTTCTGTCTTCTTTTTTTTTTTTTTTTTTTTTTTTTTTTGGTTTTTCGAGACAAGGTTTCTCTGTGGCTTTGGAGGCTGTCCTGGAACTCACTCTGTAGACCAGGCTGGCCTCGAACTCACAGAGATCCGCCTGCCTCTGCATCCCGAGTGCTGGGTTTAAAGGCATGTGCCTCACCAATGCCCGGCTCCGTTCTATCTTGTTGATGTGATCAGTGCTTGACAAGAAGCAACTTAAGGGCCTGAGGGGTTACAGTCAATCATGTGGGGAAGCAGGGTGGCAGGCGGCCCCAAGGCAGCAGTGGTGTGTGACCGTGTGACAGCTGCTTGCACAAACCTCAGCTGAACAGGAAGCTAAGCCCTAAATCTCAAGAGCCACCTCCACTCCCAAATGACCCTCTGCTTCTGCTAGGTTCCAGCCTTCCAAAACTGTGACCACTGTGCAAACATATGGACTGTTTATAAATTGCCCCAGGGAATTGTGGCTGCCATTCCTTTGGATGTGTTAGAGTAAGAATAGCATTTCTTTCACACCCAACAGCAGGAGGGGCAGTGTGTCCTGGAGGCCAACTGTGTGTGTGTGTGTGTGTGTGTGGTGTGTTATACTGTGTAATTGGAGTAGCAGATCCTTTGGTATTCGTTTGTAAAATGTTAAATGACACGAACCTAACCCCTCAAATCTTCGAGTTCAACAGATGCGTGAGAAGATACATCTACAAATCTGTTCTTAGGGTCCCCGAGGAACTTTCCCAGCAGGAACAAGTCCTCAGAGCCTCTTTGTTCCGGGAGAGCCCGTGGCTTGAACTGTATACCCTTCAAAGGAAAACAGTTGTGCAACCAAGAAGATGCAGAACATCTATCTATCCACCTGGTAGCTCCGTGTGACAAGGAAGAGCACGCCTTTAATCCCAGCACTCGGGAGGCAGAGGCAGGTGGGGATCTCTGAGTTCGAGGCCAGCCTGGCCTACAGAGCGAGTTCCAGGTCAGCCAGAGGTACAGAGTGTGTATGTGTGGGCAGATCTTGCTGGCCCCAGGTTTCACGCACTTGCACGAACACTTAGGAGGCATGTGCCAAGTGTAAGCAGCCATGTCTTATCCGGGAACAATGCTTGGGGCACGTCCTGGCCCTCGCGGGACCCCTCAAGGAAGGACCACAGGATGAGCTGCGCGCGTTGGGCGCCGCCACACGGCGTGGGGAGGCTCCAAACACCAGCCGGGGCTGGCGGCGCTGAGGGTGAGGCCGGCCAACGTGGGTCTGGAACCCGAGCTCCGTCAGCCCTGCCCCGGCTGAAGCAGCCAGCGCCAGGCGCGCCCCATCCGGCCTCGGTCTCGCACCACGTCGCCACGCCACGTCACCTGCGTGCGCCCCGGACGCACTTGTGGTCCGAGGCAGCGCCCCGGAAGTAGCCGTGGACGTCGGAGCAGGCGGGCGGGACCGGCGCGGATGTGGCGAGGCTGCTGAACGCAGGTTCCGCGGTATGGCGGGGACGGCGCTGAAGCGGCTGATGGCCGAGTATAAGCGTGAGTGGGGCGGCTTCCGCCTTCCCGTCCCCTTCCCCGTAGCCTACCGCGGCGTCCCCCGGCCACGCTCACGCTGGCCCGGCGGGGTGTGAGCCCGCATGCGGAAGGCCGGGCTGTCGCTGTCGCCTGCGCGCTCCGGCCGGCTGCAGCGGGGCAGGCCCTGCGCTCAGATGCTGGCTCGCCCAGCGCGGTCAGGGTCCTGCGACCCCGACCCGGTCCCCGGGTCCCTGTGGGCTTGCGCATCTGTCCTCCCGACAGCTGATGCTGCGGGGCGGTGCTCAGCGAGGATCCGGTAGTCCCTGTAAGGTGGTCATGAGGTGGCGTTGAGTTTGGGGAGAAAGTTGAAAGTGAGCAAAATAAGGACTTAAACCTCCGGCCGGCCACGCCACCCGTGAGAGTTGGCTTCGGCTGGACACGAGCTCCGCAGCTTGTGAAGACCATTTCCTTTCATCCGGATCTGTCTGTGTTTCTGTTTTACTTTTCAGCCTCGTTTCTAGGCTTAGAACATCATCTCTTTTACCAAAACAAAACAAAACAAAAACAAACAAACAAAAACACCAGCATTCAGGCTCTGGGACAGGCATCCAAGCGCTAGCAGTTTGTACTTGGCTGTCCTTGCCGAACTTAGTTTCCCAAGGGTATTCACTTTGGAGAAAATTATATTTCCCATCTTCCGTCCTCATGAAAGCCTCAAACATTATTTTAGCCATATTGCCAGTTTGTTTGCAGTTAAGGTCATGGATTATCAAAAGTTTGGGAGAGGGAAAGAATTTGCTTAAAAGATCTGATCCTGAAACAGGGAGAGAGGAGTTCACAGGGGAGAGTGTGCCACCTGAGGTAGCTGCTTGGGAGAGGGAAAAGGGGCCGCGAGCTAAGGGCCTCGGGCTGACAGTCTGGGACCAGCGTTACAGCCATATGGAACTGAGTTGTGCCAGCGACTTGAATGGACTTGGGCTGCAGCCCTGAAAACTGCTCCAGCTGTCCTGGCTGAGCCCAGACCCATTGCCACATGGAAACCATGAGGTCATCAATGGATATTGTTTAAAACTGTGGCAACAGTGACAGGAAATGCATCCATCAGTACTGAGCATGAGAAGTGAGGATGGTTTTTTTTGTTTTTGTTTTTCTCCCCCATGTCGGTGTAATTCGATAAAGTCCCGCCGAGTGTGTCCTTTCTTTTATGGCTTAGCATCTGGTTTGTCCTTGTGTTTAGGACAGTGTACTCCAAAGTTAGGTAGACTTGGCAGGAATGGTCAGGGAAGGACCAGGGTGTAGGCAGATTTGGGTAGGTGTTCAAACGTTCCCGATTGTGCTGTGAATTGAGAGATGATATGACTCCGGGTGTAGTGTATTGTTTAAATTTTACTACTGTGTGTGTTTGAGTGTTTTGATTGCATATGTCTAAGTGTATCACATGCATGTCAGGGTGGCAGTGATTGTCAGAAGAGGACGTTAGATCCCCTGGGACTGGAGTTACAGCTGCTTGCGAGCCTTTGTCTAGGTGCTGGACTAGAACCTGGATCTCCTGCAAGGACAAGTGCTCTTAATCTCTTCTGTCATCTCTCAGCTCTGTGTTTTTTAAAATTTTTTATTTTAGGCCTCCTAGTTTTATATTTAAATTTATAACTATAAATTTAAAATTTAAATTTTATAGAAGTTGAATAACAGATGCAAAACGATTGGCCTGTGCTCATGAGACCAAAAAGAGCCAGCAAAGAACTTGAACCTACCCTCTTGCTGCCCTCGTTCTTGTACAAGTGCCTTTGCATGCAGAGGAGGATAGTGGACGTCCTGCCCTGTCACTCCGCACCTCTGTCCCCTGAGACAGGGTCTGTCACTGAACCTGGCTCATCAATTTGGCTAGAATGACAGGCCAGTTAGCCCCAGAAATCCTCCTGCTTGTCTCCGGCTCTGGGGTTACAGGCGCACTTAATAAATAAAGCCACCTCTTTTGCATAGGGTACTGGGGATCAAGTGTTTGCATACGGGTACTGCAAGAATGTTGTGTGCCCTCGTGTTGTTATATATCCTCACAACTTTTCTTCTGTGACAGACACGGGGAGCCATGGCCCAGGGCGGCTGTAACAGTGTCACCACCCGGATGGCTTACCATAACAGAAGCCATCTCACATTTTGGAGGTAGAATTAAAAATCTAGGTGTGGGCTGGGCTGTGATCCTTGGCAGAGTGGTCTCTGGGGGAAGAAGTCTTTTCTGTCCCTCAGCTTTCCAGAGTGCTGGCTGCCTTGGGTTCCTGAGCAGTGTTAAGTATAACTCCTCCTCCCCTGTACCTTCCTGTGGCCATCTTTTCCCGGGCGTGAGGATACTCAGATCTCTCACACTTGAGAAGTCAGCAGTGTTGGTTTAGGGCCCCACCTGCTCAGTAGGCTCTCTATGTCTGGTACATCTGCTGAGACCCCGATTCCAGACAATGTCACCGGTCCCGCGTGTTTTATTTATTTATTTATTTATTTTTTGGTTTTTCGAGACAGGGTTTCTCTGTGGCTTTGGAGGCTCTGTGTGTTTTAAAAATTGCAGTTATTTTTATGTATTTACGTGCATGTGCAGAAGTCAGGACAACTGGCAGGAGTCGGTTCTCTCCTTCTTCTGTGAGCTCCTTGGGAAGCTCGAGCTCAGGTGGCCAGACCTGGCAGCAAGTGTGTGTACCGTGAGTCATCTCTGGACTGGAATGTGAGGCAGTACAGCATAGCAGGGCCATGAAGCCAGCAGAGCTGTTTGCCTGGAGGCCAGAACACCAAAGAAAAGCAGCGGAAAGCCTGGGGTCCCTGTGCTCCCCCTAAGGATCTGCTCTCAGTGACTAGCCCTCCTCTCTGTTTCCTGGCCATGCCTGGTGCTTTTGCTGTGATGGGCTCCCTTTTCACAGGCAGGCGCTCTCCTCTTTGTAAGGTGATTATCTCAGGCATTTTGTTACAGTAATGGCCAGCTGAGTTACATGGTGTCCCAGAGACCGTGCTCTCAACATAGAGCGTGAACAGCGGCTTAGATTCTTCGCGCTTCCTCCCAGCACCACCTGAACTCTGCCTTATCCCTTTTCTTTGTGTTTGTCTCTCACTCTCTAGACAGTGCATGGCTTTCTTTTGTGTGTCTGTAGTAAAGATCAGACACCGTGTGTTTCTGTTAGTTTGCCTGGGAACCCCTTACCCAGCATTGTGTCTCAGTTACCTTTCTCTTGGAGCTTGTGGCTACAGTTCACTCTCCTTGCTGAGTGAGTTTCTTTTAATGAGTGAGTCAGAATCCACCCGTTCTGCTGCTGGTAGACACCGAAGTTAAGTTGCAGTTTGATTTTCGTAAGTACTCAGCCATGAGCAGTTCTGAAGATCTCTTGGTACCCATGTGCAGGTTTGCATTTGGAGTATAATTCAGTCTCATGGAGCATCTGAATGAGCAGCCGGTTTTACTAGGTGTGCTAAGCCGTTTGGCATGGCATTTCCAGTGTGTGTCATGTGTGTCTGCCACAGCTGAGAGTCTCCAGGTCTGCTTAGGCTTTTCACTCACACCTAACCTTCGGGTCCTCATCTTGTCCGGTAGGTGTGTTTTTAATTGGTGCACCGATGATCATGAGTGAGGTAGCAGCATCCGTTCATGGACACAGGCCATCTCTGCCTTTTTGTGTGAATCGCCTGCTTCTGGCAGGCTTTGCACAGGGCTGTCTTTCTCTTGATTGCTCCTGTGTGTTTGTGTGGGTCACATCCAGGCTGCGAATAATAGTGTCTTCAGAATGCCTGCCCTGAAGCCCATCTGCCCCTCCCAGTCAGGACTGACCTGCTTTCACTCATGGTAGTGTTGGCACTTCTCAGCGCCCAGCACAGTTGTGGGGAGATGTATCCGTGCTGTGGGATTGGTGCAGTGTCCCCTCCCCCTTACAGCACCAAGTGGTGGGGTAGGGCAGGCAGTGCCAGCTGTTGCATTGAAGTCTGGAGTGAGGTCTCACTGTAGTTCTCTGAATTACCATTTAAAATGGGAATTTCCATTTGGTATTTTCAGACGCCCCTGCTGAGCTGAATATCCACAGATAAGGGAGCGGTGACTGTTGCTTTTCTTATTTAAAGGTTTCTTTTTATTCTGTGTGTATAGTCTATGTACCATGTGCGAGCCTGGTGTCTGTAGAAGCCTGAAGAGGGAGTTGGATCTTCTGGAAATGGAGTTTCAGACAGTAGTTAGCTGCCCAGGTGTTGGTGTTGGGAACTGAACCTGGGTCCTCTGAGCACAGCTAGTGCTCATAAGTGCTGAGTCACTTCTCTAGTCCAAGGCCGTTCCTTTTAATATAGAGTGGTAATCCGTTGCATGGGCAGGCCACACTGTTTAAACATTTGCTTCCTGATGACCGTTGGAATGTTCCCTGTTTTGGCTGTGATGAACTTGCTGTGAACATCGTGTGCTTGTCTTCATTTCTCTTGCATAAACGTCTGTTTAGTTTTAGAAGGAACGGCCCAGTTGTTTGACGTCACTGTCTGTTCTCCGTAGCACAGATGCTCCACAACTCTGCCGAGTTTTTGGCTTTCCCTTCTCCCTGTTCAGCTTGTGTTAGTGTCTCCAGTGGCTTAACTTGAAACTCTTTCCTAACTGACTGATAGTGCTGAGTTATTGCAAGCTTACTGACCATCTGGCGTTTTTGATGCAATGTGTAAAGTGTTTATTTTTAAGTTGTGTTGTTTCATTAGGTTGTACATTACTTTAACATTGCCTTTTATTGGATATTTGCCTTGCAACTATTTTCCCTTCTTGGCTTGACTCCATGTGTCATCTCCCCAGCCCAGTGGCTCCTTTAATTTAAAACTTTTTAGATTAAATCTGTGTGCATGTAGTGCAGACCCCATGGAGGCCAGAAGAGGGCGTGGGATCCCCTGGCGCTGGGACGTTGGCGCTGGGCTTTGCTTTTGGTCTTCTGAGGGGCAGCAAGTGCTCTGAAGTGCACAGCCATCTTCCCTCCTCCTAATCCTGCTTTTAAACAGCAGATTAAAAAAATCAGTGACTCTGACTTTTAAAACATTCTTGCCTTTGTCTGTTTGAGAAACTGTTGAGGTGCTAGGATTTCTTCTAGGTATTTCAGTTAATATCTGTAATCCATTTCAAAGTTTTGTGGGAGAAGTCAGGGTTCCTATACGTATTATCTGGGAGTATTCCAGCTGGGTCAGTTTGCTAGAGCTGCAGTGCCTTAGACTAATACAGGCAAGAGAAACTGATTTCTTTGCAATCCTGAAGGCAAGATCTCCAGAGTTAGGGTGTGGGACAGGCCTGTTTACCTAGCTTCAGCAAGGACACAGACAGGTTGGATTAGGAACTGGTCCAGTGTCCTCACTTGAACCATAGTTATTTCTCCACCTGGGTGGCTCTACCGTTTTCGGAGACTACTCTTTGAAAAGTTTTGATATAGCTATCTCTTCTGAAATTATGATTATCAGCAAACGGAACTGGGTGGTTCTGTATGTACGTGTGTAAACAGGGAACTGCGTGCTTTTGTATGCACATATGTAAACAGGGAACTGCGTGGTTTTGTATGCACGTGTGCACCTGTTTTGAAGCCTTTCTGCTGTTTACTGCAGTTCATCACTGACCAGCAGGTGTCACTGCTGGGTAGCAAAGTGGGTGGTATGGCGCTGGCTGCCTAGAGTCCAGATCCCCAGCATTGCTGCGCTCCAGCTGCAGGCTGGGCCTCCCCTTCTCTCTCTAAGGGGGCGGTGGTGTCCCAGGGAAGTCCTAGAGGGGTTGCCCACAAAGAATCCGGCTCTGCTGTTTTTGCTCTAGGTATCCATTGTTCCACAGCATTGAGTCTCTTCCTCAGCCCCATATTTTAGCAGCTCAGACTCATCTGCCTCATTTATTGTTTTCATATAGTCAGGGGTGATGGACTAGGTTTCAGATGGCGGAGAGTGTAAAGGTTTGGGTGGCTGGTTCTGCTACTTACCCTGATCTGTCCCTGTGAAGGGACACGGGGAGACTGGAGGGGTGTGCTCCTGCCGTCCATCCTGGTACTTGACCTCCCCACGTCTGCCTCCTCCCGTCCTTGAAGTGTGTGCAATCTGACTGAAAGCCTCTTGTTCCTTCTCCTCGCCTGGCCTCTCCTTAGCATCTTCCTGTCTCTCATTCACAATAAAAAAAAAACCAATAATCTTAGTGTTACTTTATGCTTATGAGTGTTTGCCTGCATGTTTTAAATTATACCACATGTATACAATGCTAGCAGAGGGTGTTGAATCCCCTGAAAGCGGAGTTACTGGCAGTTGTTAGCCGCCATGTGGGTGCTGGGTCCTTGTAAGAGTGGTGAACTCTCTTAACTGCCGAGACATCTCTCCACTTTTCCCCACCTTTATTTCCAGTTACATTTACTTGTGTGTATTGGGGGTGTGGATGTGCACATACATGACATTCACATGTGTGTCAGAGGGTAACTTGTGGGATCAGTTCTCTCTCTCCTTCATGTGGGTCCTGGGCTTCAAACTCAGGTCATCCAGCTTGGCAGCCAGAGCCATCAGTGGCAGAACTTTTCCTTTTTTTTTTTTTTTTTAACAGGTCTTTTTTTTTTAAAGATTTTATTTATTTATTATTAAGTATACAGTGTTCTGCCTGCATGCTAGTCAGAAGAGGGCACCAGATCTCATTACAGATGGTTGTGATCCACCATGTGGTTGCTGGGAATTGACCTTGGGACCTCTGGAAGAGCATCCAGCGCTCTTAACCTCTGAGCCATCTCTCCAGCCCATGGAAATAATTCCCTCCATTGTATGTCTTTCAACTTAGCCCCTTTTTCCTTTTCTGGGGTGATAATTAGAGGCCCTCAAGGTGGTCTGGTGTTGACTTTTACTTTTGTAGGCTTTTCTACAGTTCAGCCTATAGGGAACGAGGCCATCCCAACCCCGGGGAATGACTGTCTTACTGTTACGTGAACAAAGTCTGCACGGTGTCCTCAGTAGACTGTAGAGGTTGGTGATGTGAGATTGTGTACAGCCCTAACCAAAGAAAGCTTGGGCAGGGTCTGCCATGGTGTCCTGTGTGGGGAATGTGACTGACAGGGTGTGCCTGTGCCATTGGGCGCCCTTCCCTCTTCCTTCCCCCTCCCTTTCCCCTCCCCTTCCCTCTCCCCTCCCCCTTCTTCCCTCCTCCCTCCCCCCACTTCTCTTCCCCCACCTTCTCTTCCTTCTGCTTTTCTTTTCTTTTCTTTTCTTTTTTTTTCCTTTTTTTTGGTTTTTCGAGACAAGCCTTCTGCTTTTCTTTCCTCAGCCTCCTAGGTGTAACTTACAGCAGGGCAGGCACTATTTCCCTGCCTTGAGGCTTTTAAAGTAAAGCTAAGGTTTGTTGTGTGTTTTGTTTCTCTTCCCGTCTAGCTGTGATGCTGTTAGAGTTTCCGTGTCTCTGTGTCCATATGTGCTGTCTTTCTAACTGCACGCGTGCAGAAGGAACCCAGTTCACACGTGGGTCTTGACCTCATAGCAACTTGGAACAACTTGCCATTGCTCACTGGCTGCGGCTTTCTTTAGATGCTCACTTTCCATTCTTTGTGTTGGTCCTTTTGCCTTAATCTCATTTGGCAGAGATTTCTTAATTTCTGTTTTTTCAGAGACTACCATTTGGCTCTGTGGGTCTTTTGTGTACTTGCTGTTGTCATCTTGATTTCCCTGGCACTGAAACGGTAGAGTGCATTCTGTCCTGATTTCTTACTGCGTTAGACTTGTCCGCCGATGACTGCTGCCTTCTCCCATCCACCATTTTTCCTTGTGTGTCCACAGGTTTGGTGTTTGTTCAAACAGGTTATATTCATCTGTCGGGCATTGCCAAACAATGTCTAGTATGGTACTAGCTATGTCAAGCTAAAGTGTTCATTTGCGCTGGACTGTTTGTTGGTACACACACGTACACCTTGTGAGGCAGAGAGTCCATCCTGGGACACTGTCTTGAATTTCTCTTTTCTCTTAGCTCACATTTTTTGGAGTTCAGAGTACAAGATCAGGGTCTGTAGGATGACAGTGGTGGCCACCGTTGTGGTGACTGTAGTGGCTTGAGTACAGGATTATACGTGAGGATTTGATCACACCTGGGGCAGGAAGCCAGAGAGCAGCTAGCTGCTTCTGTAACCACTCTGGAGTCATCTGCTCAGTGTTACACAGACACACACACACACACCACCTCACACCCACCTCTTAAAGGTCACGTCCGTCCCCACCCCAGTACTGCTACCTGGCTTCCAACACTTGACTTCTAGGACACACTCCAGACCGGAACATGACCTAGATACAAATCACCATGCCACTGGGTCTTCGGCAGCGACTGGCCGTAAGTAGCTGAGACTGTGTAGTAGGGCATTCATTAGGGCACAGGGAACTGTCCTCTTGGAAGAAATGTGCACTGTAATCTAGTTGATGAGACTCACGAAGTTCTTTGCTAAGTGACAGTGTAACACTCTTTCTCTCTGGTAATGGCTCTGTTCTTTAACTTTACAGAATTAACCCTGAATCCTCCAGAAGGAATTGTGGCAGGTAAGGGACTTGAGTGACTTAATTGTGATTTTTCTTCCCATTGGCCAAGTTCCCTTCCGATTAAGATGTGGAATTTTTTCTTTCCCTACAGGCCCCATGAATGAAGAGAATTTTTTTGAATGGGAGGCCTTGATCATGTAAGTTAATTTTGTGAATTACTTTTTTTTTTTCCATGCTTTACTGGAAAGTAGGCCTAAGACTCTCTTACCCTGAAATGTTGACTGGACCGGAGTGGGCCTTATAGCTCTCAGCTGTTCTCTGGGCAGAAGCCAGGTGAACCTGAATCCAAAGGAGATGACGGTGTGTCCTGAGCACCAATAAAAGCTTTAGTTGGGCATATTAGCTCTGGGTAGTTTCAAGTTGCTGGTTTTTACTGTGTGGCTGTTAGGAAGAAACAATGCCTTACTTAACCCTTTGCTTTCACACTGTAGATGACACAGAGAGCTTCTGTGTCCCCTGAGCTGTGGGGCACAGCTCCCCACCAGAGCGGCACCCAGGACAGTCACTACACTGTCTGTCTGGAGAGTGGCGGGTCCCGCAGCCTGAGGACAGTCTCTCTTCGGGCCTCGTCTTAAGTCTGAGTGCCTGGAGCTTCTGACTAGCTAGAAGTCGGGGTTCATGTGATTCCATCATTATGGCAGCCCCCTGAAGGGAGACACTTCCTCACCTTTGCAGTTTCTTATAGAGAGCTTTTGTTTATTGAAATATGAGCATGTTGCCTGCCTGCGTGCCTGGTGCCTGCGAAGGTTAAAAAGGTGTCCGATTCTTTGGAACTAGTCACAGACAGTTGCAGCTCATGGTGAGGCCTTGTTCTTCCTATGAGCTGCCACGCGGGGGCCGGCCGCAGACTCCAACCCCATCTTGTAATGCCGCCGTCTCCTTTCCCTGATGCCTGTTCACAGTGCGTGTGACTGGTTCCCCAAGTGGGGGCCCAGCTGGGCCTGGCTGGTCACTTGAGCTCCCTTTGTACATGACTTTCTCAAGGTCATGAGCCCAGACTCTTCTGAAAGCAGAAGGGAAAAGTTAAGTCAGAGAATTTCTTTATGGCTTGGCCTGGGCAGTTTGTCTAAATGCTGAAACCTGACCCCCAAGAAGGACTTAGAAACCAGAAACCAAGGTCAGAAGCTAAACAAAACAACCAGTGTGTTTATTTACTGATGTATATCCAAAAGGAAGAGTATCCAGTCAGGATGCCCAAGGCCAGGTTCTCAGCACAAAGGAGATTTGTTTTCCCAGGGGGACAGAGGACAGGGAATAAGAAACAAAGACAGGAGATAGAGAATGAGGAAGAAGGGAAAGGAACAAGGGGGAGGGGCAGGGTATTCGTCCTGGGGGGACAAAGACTGGATAGAGAGGAGACAGACATGGCCCGTAGGAAAATGGAGGTTTATGAAGGTACGGGAGGAAGCCCCATGTTAGGATGAAGTGCTTAATTTTTTTTTCTGAGACAGGGTTTCTCTGTATTGTTTTGGAGGCTGTCCTGGAAGGCTCTGTAGACCAGGCTGACTTTGAACTCACAGAGATCCACCTGCCTGTGCCTCCCAAGTGCTAGGATTAAAGGTGTTTGCCACCAATGCCCGGCTGAGGTACTTAAATTTAATTGGGCATGTTAATTAGGTGAGCCAAATTAAATTAGGGGATTTTGATGCTGGACTTCAATACTTTGATAACTGGACCTTGGTAGTAGTCTCAGGAGGAGGAAATGGCTAAATAAGGGAATGGACCTTAGTGGCTAGCTTTAGGAATGTAATCTAACAGTTTTTAGCAAGGCAAAGGAATTGGGGGAAACGACAAGACCTGCCCTTGCCACACGCTTCAGTGGGGCAGTGTCTCCCAGAGTATGCAGTGATTGTGAGGAAATTGCCTCCAATAGTGTGGGTGGCTTTTCTAGCAGGAAAAGACCGTTAAAGCTGTAGGTGACTGAATGGACCTCCCACAGCTGCATTAGACTTGAGACGCTAGGTGTCTGTTTCTTCCTCCTTTCTCCTCCACCCCACTTCTGGTTCTCATTTCTCTGTTGCCTTCTCTGGCTTGCAGGCCATCCACTGTTTGTGGTCTTGAGTATGGTGTGGCTTATTCCAAAGTGAGTTTGTGTCTCCTATTAGTTTAAGATGTGTTACATTTATGCTGTGGAATATCTGTTTAATTATGCAAAGATGTGTTGCATTTGTTTAACTCTGCGAAGCTGTGTTACTTTGCCTTCCTAAAGTGCCTGATTGGCCTAATAAAGAGCTGAATGACCAATAACTAGGCAGGAGAGAGAAATAGGCGGGGCTTCCAGGCAGAGAGAATAAAATCTAGGAGAAACAAGGAGGAGCAAGAAAAGAGGAGAGGAGAATGCATTGGGCCAGCCACACTGCCAGCCTTGGAGTAAGAAGAGAGGAAAGATATATAGAATTTAAAAAAGGCAAAAAGCTCAGAGGCAAGAGGTAGTTAAAGAGAAACGGAATATTTTAATTAGAAAAGCTGGCTAGAAACAAGCCAAGCTAAGGCTAGGCAGTGATAAGTAAGAATAAGTGTCTGTTTGTTTATTCCAGAACTGGGTGGTGGGCTCCCAAAGAGTTAAAAAACAACAAACAAAACAAAACGACAGTCCACAGAGTGAGTTCCAGGACAGCCAGGGCTGTTATACAGAGAAACCCTGTCTTGAAAAACCAACCAAATAATAACCTAAAACAGAACAAAACAGAAAAATTGACAATATTCTATAATGCAAGTCATTTGAAACTTAGGAATCATTTCTGGAATTTGCTGATTGTTAGCTTCAGATGTTGGTGAAGCCAGGTAAGAGGAGGATTCTGCTGCTTTTCCTGAGGCCTGCGGCCATTGCCACCCCTAGCCAGGTCATTGCTGGGGGCCATGTCAGGTGGAGCTCTGTTTACTTTTCTTTCACTCACTTTCCAGTGCTGGGGATCAAACTCAGGGCTCTCAGCCTTCTCCCCAGGCATTGTTTGCTCTTAAAGAAGCAGGTGATCGTGTGTGCGAACTGATGTGTTTCATCTGCCATGTCCTGTGTCAACACAGACACACCTGTGCTTGCTCACAGGCTGTCACAGCAGCACGCCAGCTGCCTGCAGAGGTCAGGGTACCTGATGAGCCTGTGATATTTGGAAGATGCTGCCTCATTGTGTCCACAGTAGATGGCTTTAGGAGCTCAATAAAGAACAGCTGAGCTCTCTAGTATGGATTTTAAAAAGCATTGTTAAAAGTCTGTTGAGTTAACTATTACTAATTTTAGATAAACAGTATAAGTTAAACAAATATTTTGAAAACCTGTCTTAAAAAGTAATTACAACTGATTTTCAGGAGAGCACGTTTGTGTTTGAATAAGGCTTTTGCATTAGTGTGGAATTCCCCTGCTTCAAGATCTAGTGACTTTGTGGGTTTTGGTCCTGTTCCAGACCCTTTACAAACAAGAGGCCGTTTACAAATGTTCTTAAAACATCTATCAAGGAATTAACTGTCCTCCTGTGGCTTTGTCTCACCCTGCTGTTTTGGCAGAGAGCTGGCTGGGCTTTTATTTCTCCGTGACTGGGGGCCTCTTCTCCCTCAGACTCTCCTGGTTTCTAGGGCCTCCTCTGTCTCTGGTGCTTTTGGACATCACTTGCCTCATGGAAGCCTGACACTGAACCAATTGCGCTGGCCTCCACTCTGTCACATGTGGTACTCATGCACACATGCACACAGAACACTCATACATATAAATAAACCTTTAGAAGGGGAGGGGCTGAACATTCGCATTCATCCTCTCTGCTTCCTGACTATGGACTCAATGGGATCAGCTGCGTCACATTCCTGCTGCCACAACTTGCCCCGTAATGGACTAGACCCTCAAAATGTGAGCCGGAAATAAAGCCTCTCTCCCCCCTCTTCCCCTTGGTCCTGTGCTCTGGCTATCCTAGAAAACTCTCTAGACCAGGCTGGCCTTGGCCTTAGAGATCTGCCTGCCTCTGCCTCCAGAGTGCTGGGATTAAAGGTGTGAGCCTTCTCTCTTAAGTTGCTTTTGTCAGGGTATTTTATCATAGCAACGGACAAGTAACTAATACAGTTATTACACCTATAAAACCTCTAACCTTTGGTTATATATGATGCTAAAGCAAGGTTCATTAAAGAAAACTGCTTAGCAGCTAGAAAGGTGTCTGGCTCAGTGGCTAAAAGCACTTGCTATTCTTGCAGAGGACTTAGTTCAGTTTCAAGAGGCCATGTGGGGCAGATCACAACACCTGTAACACGAGCCCAGGGAACCTGAAGTGTAGTCAAAGAAGTGGAACGAAGTGACTGGGTCACCATGGGTAGCCGCTGGATGAATTGAGTAAGGCTCATAGCTGAACAGACTGTTGCAGGGTGGGGCCTGCTTGGAGGAAATGGGTCTGGGGGTGACTTTGAAAGGGTGTGTCCTGTCCCTGGCTACTCCTCTCCTCCCTTCCTGCTGTCTGGCCACCATGAGATAAGCAGCTTCTTCCTGCATAGGCTCTCACAAACATATTCTACCTCACCTTAGCTCCAAAAGCATCCACCCACGTGACCATGAACTGAAGCCTCTGGAACTGTGAATTAAAATCGCTCTTCCCTCCTCCTAAGTTGTTTTTCTTGGGTATTTTGTGACCATGATGAAAACTGACAACACAACCAATGATCTATCTGCATCTGCGCACAAGGACCCAATTATCAAAGCCTGCAGTGCTTGCACCATGACCAGGTCAAGGGTGAGAGGCCATGCAGGCAAGGTTGTTAGCCACCGTCCCATGTGGGTGCTGGGGATTGAACCGGGGCCCAGTAAGAGCAACACGTGCTCTTAACTTCCTCTTTGATTTGACGGGGTGGGTCTCCCATCTCATTTACCTAATCCAGACAGTCCTTCACAGGCAGACCAGAGGCTTCTCTTCCAGCAGATCGAAGATCTTGGAAAATCGACGAGCAGTGGTAATTATCCCAGTAGCTTGAAGCTCTCCACACTTCCACCTTTGATCCTGTCTCGATAGTTTTATGTAAGGAATAAAGCGTAGGAGCCAACCTTCACTCTCTGTCCATCCACCTGCCTCAGAACCTTTTCTTGAATCTGCCCATTGAGTAATCTGGGCATCTGTGTCAAAAATCAATATAACCCGTGATTAGTTTTAGCCTTCCCAGTGCATTGATTTGTGCCCGTCCTCTGCCACGCACACGTCTGGTTGCTGCGACTTTAGTTCTACAGCTGGCAAATACGAGCCCCCCCACCTCGTTCTTTCTGTTAGACTTCTGGCTGTTCCAGAAGTGCCGTGAATTTCCGTACACGTTTTGTTTTGTGCAGTATTCCTGCTGGGGTTTGTGGATTCCTCAGATCAGTTTGTAGAATGCTGCTGCCTGATTAACATTGTGCTCTGTCCAGTCAGCAAGTGTGGGGTGTTTGCTTATCCAGGGTTTTCGGAATCTCAGCCACGAGAACGTCATTCTCATCATCAATCGTATACCATGATACAATTTTAACTAAAGTAATCCAGTTTTGTTGCTAGGGCTGTGTGCTTACACACACAGGAAAGCTTGCAGAACCTCAGGACAGTTTCCAGCATTTATGTTAGACAGTGATCCTCTGTGTCAGAATTCACTGTGCAGTTATACAGCTCTAAGTGCCCTTCCAAACAAGTGAGGGTGTTTAAGTTTTTTAGCAGTGTCTCTATTGCAAAAATATTAGGATGTGACCGTGACTCCTTTGGACAGAGTTGACCTGAAATTACAATGTAGAACAAGCCCTATTTGTTACTACCCTGGTTCAGGCAGTGGAAGGATCTTTGGAATACCACAGAAGAATCAGGGTGTTCCTCTCTGTCCAAGTTGCTGGGATAGAAAAGGTGTATTGGACCCTTTTCTTAGTCACAGCTTCCTACGGAGGTGTCCTGTTGCCAACAAGGTGTTACATCCTGGGAGCAGACATGTCTCTGGTGATCTCTGCTGCCTAGCCAGCAACTCCCATCAGGCCAGTGTGTGGCCAGGTGTGTGACGCTTGCAGCCTTTGTTGAACTGTGGAGGGGAACACTCCTGCAGGCTGTTGCTGAGGGGCCTGCAGGCTATAGGGGAAGGTGTGGGGGGTCTGTCCACTGATTTTGTATGCTGTGGACAGCATCCTTAGTAATTCAGCTGTGGTTCTGAGTTCCAAAGAGAGGGCAGTCTGTTATTCTAACACTTCATCAATTATAGTGGTGTGAGGCAGTCTGTCATCTGCTGAGACCCTTCATAAAGAGATAGGCAAGGTCTAGGCCCTGCCCTATATGAAATGACAGACTATGGACACCCCCATGGAGGGCCTCACCCTCCCTGGGGGAATGAGGGGATAATGGGGGGGGGTTGGGTAGAGGGCACGGGAGGAGGGGAGGGAATGGGAGAGAGACCTGGAACTGACTTTTGAAGCAACCTCGTTTCTTATCTAAATTTAAACTGGAAAATAAAATATAAAAAAAAAAGATCGGCAAAGTGGCTTCTCTAACATTCTCCTGCCCCAGAATCAGTGGCAAGCGGGGCCAGACAGCTGCAGCATCGGGGGCTGCTCTGACCTTCTGCCTTCCAGGTGTCAAGGCTAACTCAGCAGCCTGTCCTCCTCACGCCACAGCAGCAGCACTCTGTAAACCTCCAGCCAGAAGTTTGCCTTTCATTTTGGGGGGGGGGGCGGAATGACAGTCACTCTTCCACATCTATTCTCTGGCAGACAAGAAGCCAGGAGTTGCGCGCATGTGCACTTCGGGTGTTGTCTCCTTTCCTGTTTTGGGGGTGAGGGTCTTCACTCCCAGAAACGTGGAGTGAAGCTTGCCCCAAAGTTATTGGTTCTGACTCTGTTCTGGCAGGAAGCTTCTCTGTGGCATTTCCCACCTTTGGCAGGCATGTCCTTGCACAGTTTGCCACCTGCATACCTGTTCAAGCGGCAGGCTTGCTGGAAAAGAGAAAGAAAGCCCAGTTTAAACCAGCAGTATGCCTGAGTATGCGCAAACAGCTTTGCTATTTAAGATGTGGGCGCACTTGAGGAAATGTTGGGTCATGCTTCTGATGCTATGAACAACCCAGGAGACTTTTTTTTTTCTTTTTAAAGAAAGCCCTATTATGAGAAACAAAGACCTGTTATCAAAGCATTGAGCAAATGCCATGTAGCTCATTCCAAGGACACTACCCATTTTTTCTCACTCTAGACTCAGAGGTGCCAGCCGTAATGAGGCCCTTTCAGGGTATCTTCTGTCTCAGTCTTATCTGTCCGTGTCTGTCTCTCTGTCTCCTTTTGAGATAGGATTTCTCTATTACGTTCCCTTGATTGGTCTGGAACTCTCCATATAGATCAGGCTGGCCTTGAACTCAAAAGAGATTCGCCTGCCTCTGCCTCCCAAGTGGTGGGACTAATTAATAGCATGCACCACCACACCTGGCTAGCAGGATTACTTCTAAGATGGTGACTGTCCAGCCTTCTGATTGCAGTTTTATAGACTACATGGTGTGTCTCCCGGCTTTGCTTAATAGTAAAAGAGGTCAGTCCCCTTGACCTCTTTAATTCAGAAGGACGAGGAGTGCTGATAGGTGGCAATTGTCTCCATAGTGCTAGACAGCTCTGACATACGAGAGGGCGGAAACTCGGGTCCATCCAGGCCCCTGCAGCATGAGAGAGGGAAGCTCAACTGGACCACACCCTGTGAAGGTGACTGTGCTGCTGCTTCCCAGGGCATCCTCTGGCCTGGCCTGGTGCCAGGACCCCAGGGGACTGTCAAGCAGCATGTCATCCCTCCAAGGAGAAGAGCTATTCACTCTTGTTTTTGAAGTAGCACAGGATCGCTTTCCAGAGTCAAGGCTTGTCACTGAGAAAAAAACTTGGCTTAACAAGACACTGCATTGTTCTTTCGAAGCCCTGGGTGTGACTGCAAACGAAATCAGGTTTTTTTCTTGCTCTCTTAATTGTGGAGATAAATAGTGCAGCTAGTATTTTACAGATCCATGTATCACTGATCTAAAATAACTTTATCAAAACTTTAAACATGTTTGTGTTTTTTGTAGTGTTTCGTCTGTGGGAACAGTATGTATGTGCGTGTATACGTGTGTGCACGCAGATGCACATCTGTGGGAATAGTATGTATGTGCGTGTATACGTGTGTACATGCAGATGCACATCTGTGCCATATGCATGTGAAGGCACAAGCTCAGCCTCAGCTGTTCATCAGGGACTTTCATTGCCTGGAATTTGCTGAGTTGGTGAGGCTAGCTGACCAGTGAGCCTAGGGAATTCCCCTAGTTCCACCTGGCCAGTGCTGGGGTCACAGGTGTGTACGCCTGTCTGTTTACGTGAGTTCTGGAGCTTGAGTCCCGGGTCTCATGCTTGCACAGCAAACTATAGAGTGCGCTTTTTACCCTGCCCCTTACTAGCTTCCCTCTTCCCCCCAGATTTAACTTTATTTTTAAGTGTATGTGTGTGTGGGTATTCAAGTCATAAGTACAAGTGCCCACAGAAGCCAGAGGAGTTGGATCCCCCTGTAGCTGGAGTTACAGATGGCTTTGAACGCCCAGTATGGTGCTGAGAATCAAATCTGGGTCCTTGGGAAGAGCGATGTGTGTTCTTAACCACTGAGCCACCCCTCCCCAACCCACTGCTTGTTGTTGCTGTTTTGAGACAAGATCTTGTGTAGATCAGATTGCCCTAGACATTAGGTACCACTACACCTAGCTAAATTTGTGTCTTGAGAAAATCTTTTCTAGTAAGTAAAGATGGCTTTTGAATCAATATCTTCTCATTTCCTCTCTGTGGAAGTCTGGGTACTTATCCCTGGGTTTTTTTTTTTTTTTCTGTGTTAGCCCTGCTGTCACAGGGAGGCACAGCTGTTTATTTATGTATTTGTTTTGATTTTTCAAGACCGGGTTTCTCTGTGTAGCTTGGTAGACCACGCTGGCCTGGAACTCACCGGGATCCGCCTGCCTCTGCCTCCTGAGTGCTGAGATTAAAGGTGTGCGCCACTGCGCCTGCTTCAGGACTGTTAATTCAGGGCCCAGTTCTTTCACGTGTGAATAGCACAGGGCTTGCTTTTCCCTGGTATGCTGGCCATTCCAGGGTGAGCTCTCCCAGGCTAGTGTCGGAAGCTGTCAGCCAGCCTCTGCCTCCTAAGTTTATGTAGTGGAGAACATCCACAGCCTTGAGCTGCTGATACGGGTCCTGTTAGTGAGATTTGGAAGGGAGGGAGGGGTTGGTCTTTGGTGGTACCCCTCTCCTATTTCCCTGCCTTCAGGGCTCAGTCATCATCTAAGGCTGTAGGATCTCAACAGGACTCCTGTCATGGCTCGGCGCATTCTTCTGTGTATATACTAGGAGTTGACTGGGTGCAGGCTGGAGTCTTAGGGCCAGGAGGGTTTGCTATAGCCTAGGCTTCTTTCCACTGAGCATAAATTGAGGGTCAGGTGTCCTTTCTGTGTGATAGCTGTAAATCACGTCTTAGGCACATGGGGAAATGCAGAATATCCTTTGAAACGCATTCCTTAGCTCCTCGTCGCTGTGCACAGACTCTTGATCATTCTCTGCTACAGTGCATACCTTGATCCGAACAGGAGCTGGACCGTCCGCTGACAGACACCTTCCTAGGACCGCAGTATGCTAGAGTTTCTTCTCCGTGGTGCAACTCTGTTGCCTGTGCTTGGGCCTTGTGTCTGTACCTCAGGTCCACAACAGCTGAGACAGCTCTCAGTGAGAGAAAAACAGCAGTCGTTTAGATTTTTCCATGCTCCTTTTAAGCAGTGATGGTAGCCTTCTCTCACTTCTGAGTCATGACTGGTGTTGCAGTTGTGTCTATTTCCTAATTTGCAGGGGCCCTGAAGACACTTGCTTTGAGTTTGGTGTTTTTCCTGCCATCCTGAGTTTCCCACTTGACTACCCCTTGAGTCCTCCCAAGATGAGATTCACCTGTGAGATGTTCCATCCCAACAGTAAGTGTGTCTGACTGTGGTTGACGAGGCAGCAGAATGCTGCATTGCTAATACGAGGCAGGGGAGTCCTGCAGGATCCTGGGATGCAGCATGCCAGTACTGCACACAGGTTTCTATGATGGCTGGTAGGTTTTAAACTGTGGCAAGTCAGTTATGGTGTGAGCACCAGGATTTCCATTTTGAAGGTCAAGCTTAATGTAAGGGAGCAAAAATTGTATGAACCTAACACTAGCTATTTGGCCCAGCCATCCTGCATTGATGGGCTGATTAGAACTTTCAGGCCTGGAGTGCTTTGTGGCCTACATTGACTTTTGTCACAGTGTCATTTTTAATGGTGGAAAATTGGAATTGGACCTAAAGAAGTGGCTTAGTGGTTAAAAGCACTTTTGCTGCTCTTGCAGAGGACCTGGATTTGGTTCCCAGCACACACATGGTTGCTCACAACCAAGGCTCCAGGGAATCTGATGCCCTCTGCTGGCCTCTCTGGAACCAGACTGTCTTGTGGTACACAGACACACATACAGCAAAACACTCATGCACATTAAGAAATTGGAGCCAGCCCAGTCTTCCTACAGCAGAGTTAAGGGAATGCTGCAGTTAGGCTGAATGTAGACACTGAAGACATGTTAAGAATCCATAAAGGTGGCAGGGGATGCACCTAAGTTTAGTGTCAAGTCAGGACCCAATAGTGCTGTGAATTTTTTCTTTGGAAAACAAGTTGTGTGAGATGTGTGGAAGGGGCACAATAATGTTGCCAGTGACTCTTCTGATTAGGGTTATTTACTTATTTTATTTCTTCCTTTTGTAAGTAGTTATTATATATAAGGGAAATTTGATACAGGGTCCACATTGCCCAGGATGGTCTCCCAAGGGTTAGATTCCATGCGTGTGTCAGTATGTCCAGCTTTCATAAGAGAAATGGGGCAATGTGTTAATTTTGAATAATGGCATTTAGAGTGATGTTCCTTCTTGCAAAAGATTTTTATTGCCACTAATAATCCAGATCTTAAAAATCTGATGCTGGAGCAGAAATTCAAGTAGGATATTCTACTTAAAATAAAACATTTACTTATTTGACACTAGTATTTTTCTAAATTTATTTCATTTTATGTAATGTGTATGGGTATTTTGCCTGCATGTATGCCTGTGTAACATGTTCATGGTACCCACAGAAGCTAGAAGACTTCAGTCAGATCCCCAGGAGTTAAGAGTTAAGGATAGTTCTGAGCCATTGTGTGGGTGCTGGGAATCAAACCCTGGTCCTCTGGAAAAGCAGTCAGTGCTCTTAATCACTGAATTGCCTCTCCAGCCCAGACTGATGTCTTTTTATTGTAACTGGGTGTGTTACTACATGCCCACCCCCTCTCTGAACTTGGTTCAGTTGCCTTGCCTCTACTCTAGCCACATGGACATAGAAGGGGGTGGGGTGGTCCTGCCAGCTGTTAGGGCTGTGTCCAAAGCTGCTCTGCAGAGTCCTGTGAGGACTCCATTTCTGGGTAGTTGAGTTTTGGAGTATTTGTCCGCTCACCTTTCACTTACTCCTTTTAGTGGCAATGCTCAGAGAAATCCACTACAAGGTGGAATCTAGTTGTGACTAGTTAGTGCTAGGTAGACCTGGTCCTAAGCCTCCTTGTCAGCTGTGACCACAGGACCTGAGCAGTCCCTGACAGGTCTGGCCTGCTGCTGGTAGGCCTCTCTGGGATGTGTGCCACCAGGAAGTGTCCTGTTACTGCTGTGCAAACAGCGGGGCCTCTGCAGAGCTTCCCCAGGACAGTGGCACTATCTGGGCTCACGTGGCGTCCTCTGACTTTCGCAGTCTATCCTGATGGAAGAGTCTGCATCTCCATCTTGCATGCCCCAGGCGATGATCCCATGGGCTATGAGAGCAGTGCGGAGAGGTGGAGCCCTGTGCAGAGTGTAGAGAAGATCCTGCTTTCGGTGGTGAGCATGCTGGCAGGTGAGCCTGTGCACGGTTCTGTTATTGTAGCAGTCTGTACTTTCCCAAGTGTGAGCATCCCTCCATGATTACAGGCCATACAGGCCATACGGGGTTGTTGACACAATTTGCCATGTGTCATAGTACAGAGGTATAATACTCAGTACAACAGACACCCAGTGTGAGGTCCCATACTTTCAAGGAACTTGCCAATGCACCAGCAGTTATTGGCCAGTGCAGTAAATCTGACCTGCAGAAGCACTTCTCTTGGCCTCTGTGGAATGAGTTGGGAGACACGGGAGGTGGGAAGGAAAGGCATCTGGGGCTGAGGGTCAGCTGGGCAGGGGCAGGAGCCATAGCAGTGAGCCTAGTGGGTAGTTGTACTGGTTGCCACATTCTGCACTTTGGCCGCAGAAAGACCATCTGTGTGGATCTGGTGGGTGGAGGATTGGGATAGGAAAAAGCATTCGACTGCTTAGTCTGGTATTCAGACATGTGGACACTCCTGGCCAAGAGAATGGGTAGATTCAGAGGGGCTGTAGGATGCAGGCCCTCAGACTCCCCTCAGTTGGTGTGTGAGGACTTGTATTGTAGGAGGAAGCCGTGTGCTGCCATTAGCCATGTGACTTACTAGAGGCACATACAGATGAGCCGCCTATGTCCATATATGTCTTTACGTCTGTCTGTATACGTCTTTAGTCATGCCTAAAGTGGGTGTGGTCAGCGGTGTAGTAAACCGCTCTTTTATTACCTCATCTGTATGCGCCTCTAGTAAGTCACATGGCTAATGGCGGCACACGGCTTCCTCTTACATTGTATTGCTGACCTGAGCACCAGGGTGCAGTGTCCAGGGTTGTACGAAGGGAGCAGGATTCAGTCAAGGGAAGTTTGGGGTGTGTGGGAGGAGGGGTGACTGGCTGCTGACTTGGGGGTCAGCGCCCTGCATGTGCCAGTCTGAGCCTCCCTTCCTCAGGCAGAATGCCCTGGTGTTGGAAGTCCTCTTTGCTACGCAGAATGACCCGTGAAGGGTCCGTGGTGCTCTGAGATGAAAAGGAGGTTCTTGCCAAGCTGCTTCTGGTTATTCACAGTTCCCTTTCTTTTCAGAGCCCAATGACGAGAGTGGAGCCAATGTAGATGCTTCCAAGATGTGGCGGGATGACCGTGAGCAGTTCTACAAGATTGCCAAGCAGATCGTACAGAAGTCTCTGGGGCTCTGAGGCCACACCTGTGTGCACACCGAGCAGTCCAGCGCTGTCCTCCAGCCCACTTGGCAACAGTGCTGCCGGGCCGACACCGACACAGGCAACTGTGGAGTCACAGCATCTCTTGTTCCTTCTTTCCACCCCGACAGGCAGCTCCCCTGAAATCATGACTGGAATAACGACAGCTGCTGGGCTGCAAAGGGCTCCTCCTGCTGCGCCTCAGGGAGGGTCCAGGCTGTCCTCACTACCTCTCCCAGCCACGGGGTCCTCAGCTCTGCTCCCTCCTGCACTGCTGAGGACCTGCCTCTGTCACCCACCAGGGGCTGGGATAACCCGTGCTGCTCCTTCTGAGGACATGGGGCCTTGGAGAAAGCAGTGTGGGCCTGTTGCTCCTGCCTCTCAGTTCCTAGGTGTCCCAGGGGGCATTCTGAGCTTCTTTGGACACTTTGCACTTACAAGCCTAGGCTGCCTTTGGCATGGTGACAGAGGCTTGCTGTGTGCGTCACAGAAGTCTCCGTAGCCCCCTCCAGGGGATGTTTTGTAAATGGGTTCACAAGAGGGGACATGGGTCACCAGGACTGCTGCTCTTGCTGGTGCGAACTAGAGCAGGCAGGCACCGCCAGAGCTCTAGTGTGGGTCTCGCTTGGGGGTTCTGTGTATATACACGTGGTGGCACCAGGCTTAGCTCTAGGATCAAATTGTTCTTCACTGTCAGGGTTGGAAGGGAATCTGCCTCTAGGTGCTCAGAAGAGGGGCACATTTGGAACTAGATGATCTGGGAAGTGGCTGTGGTGCAGGCCAGGGGTGGAGGGTCTCAAACAGCAGGACCACACTGAGCGACAGTGCCCGAGCAGACCCCACAAGCAATAACAGACAGGTAGATCCTCAGTGTCAGCGGACGCTTGGCCTTTTCTAAACAGGTTGCCTTGAAACATGAGTTTCTACTGTTAGAGTACAGCCCATCTGTGGGGCGTGCAGCAGATATCGCGGCACTCGTCCGCTTTTCCTGCCCACATGCCAGTGGCTGGCACTGCGCATGTGTCATGGTGTTAGTAGTTCCAGCTCTGGGGCTCCATTGGGTGCCTGTGGGGACCTCATGTTTTCCTTCTCCAAGGGAGTCCCCTTCTATTTGAAATGCAGCAGAGGTTGGTGCTGGGAGGTGCAGGAGAAGGGAATTGTACCAATATAGTATTTGTAGGCCACTGAGGAAGCCCTCTCTGAAAAGAGGTGGCCTTGAACACACAGAGTGGCCCCAGGGCATGTTGCCACCCTCAGGCCTCCCTGGCAAGTTGGGGAAGAAGACAGGCAGTCTCTTTGCAAAACAAAAGTATTTTTATTCATTTGTATTTATTAAATGAAAAAAAAAAAAGAATCTTCTGGTGTCCCTCTTCTGTGGTGGACTTTAATTGCTGTTAAATAAAAGTGTATATCCCTTCCCCACAGCGTTCTCCTGTGGTGTTCTCATAGAATCCTTGGGAACCTCAGCCTCGGTCACCTTCTGGAGTTGGTTGGAGGCAGCTCTGAGGGTGCCAAGGGCTCTCTTCATGTTTCCTTCTATTCCTGTGTCCTTTCCTCCTCTTTCTGGTCTACTCAGGGCTGGGGGTTCGCACAGGTCTGTGGCAGGATTCGGGAGCCTGCGAACTGGGATGTGAGGGATTTGAATGTGTGCTAATCTCTTAACTGTGAACAGTCTTGTGAGCAAGGGGTCCAGGGTGGTCACTAGCAGGCGTCAGACGGCTGTGCTTCAGGTTCACATAGCTGCTGCTTGCCATGTCACCGCATCTCCCTGCTCTCACTGTGTAGACTGGCTGGACATGAACTAGGTCTGCCTGCCCCTGCCCCTGCCCCTTAAATACCCGGGTTAAAGGCCTCCCCATTGTGGCTTATTCTGGAAGCAGTGCTGCAAAGGCACAGTTACCTGCTGCTGAACCTGCCTTAGAATCAAGTTACTTAATGAGCCTTGGTCCTCTGGTAGACCCTACTAATGGTCAGCCTTCGTGTTCCTGTTGCTCTGGCTCCCGGGGAGTGCTGCTTACTGCTGCTCTGGGTAGACGCTTGCGCCGTTTCTACCCGGGGGAGGCGGCTCCCGCCACTGGCTGAGCCTGGGTTTGGCGCTGCCCAGGTGCTGCCAGCCATTCCTTCCCTGGGTGGTTGGGGCGTCCTTCTCCGTCTCCTTCCTGCACACCTCCACAACTCCCGGTGGTCTGAGTTATCCCTGCTCAGATCCCCAGGCGGGGCCACCAGCTGCCAGAGTGACGTCTGCAGGTGTGAGCGCTCACTGGTGACTTGGTTAGAACCTGCCACAGGCACAGCCTGCTCGCACTGCTTGGCTGGACTGTAGATGCCCACATTCATACATCGGAGGCCTCCTGTAAGGGCTGAGGGGGTACAGTTCTGGGAACCCTGTCCCGTGGGGTGGGGCGGGGCACATGAATTAGCATGGTTGGGCTGAGGTCGTCTGGTAGGCTGGACTCTTCCTTAGAAGGTCAGCCCTGTGTGCTGGCATGATGGGGCCAGAGGCACCTGTAGATTGTGCTCCCACACTGGGCAGGGTTCACACTGATCAAGGGTTCACACACTGGGGCCTCCTTACGGAGGCAGGAACCTAGGCAGTCACATTTTCACTTAGCCACTCGCCCAGACCCCTTGCATCCACCGTTGTTTGATGCTGGCGATCTGGTGACGTCAGGAGGGGTCGGCGTGTGTTCATAAGAAAACCCTGCAAGTTCAGCCCGTATTAGAGAAGCTACAGCCTCCAGGCCCTGCATTGAGCACCAAGGAAACGTGTCCCCTCTCGAAGGCCGTCTGTGTCACTTGTTGGCCCATTTCCCATGTGCTAGGCATTTGGGCTGCCGCTCAGGGGATGCCTGCCTTCCCATGTGCTGCTTCTGTACTGACTCTCGTCCACACTGTGTCATCCCTGCTGCCCACACTGGCCCGCTGGGCCTCTGACCCCAGACTCAGCACCTCGGGTTCCTGGCTGCTGCCGGCAAAGGCTGGCCTCCCACGTGTCTGGGATGGGGACCAGTGTCCAGCCCTCTGAGGCTGAGGCTGCCCTATCAGCTTGGGGAACATTACGATGTGCAGGACCTGGTGATTGGTTTTCCTCTTCCTACCAGGCCCTGTCTTCCCAAATAGCTCTGTCACCAGGCAGGAAGGGGCCCGCTCACCTATTCCACTCCATTCCTGTTTCCTCACGCCGGGTGACTGGGTGGCCATGATGCCTTCTGTTGTAAACCATCAGGGTTTCTGTCTGTGAATTCTGGGGATAACCGTTTGTGTGTGGTGATGGCTGTTGAAAGTTATTTTGCTTTTGCTGGGCAACGGTGGTGGTGGTTATGGCACATGACCTTAATCCCAGCACTAGGGAGGTAGAGGCAAGTGGATCTCTGTGAGTTCGAGGCCAGCCTGATCTACAGAGCTAGTTCTGTTACACAGAAACACCAAACAAGGAAAACAGGAGTTACTTTGCTTCCTGAGACACAGTCTTCCTGTGTATTCCTGGCTAGCCTTAAACTCTCAGCAATCCTCCTGCTTCAGCTTCCTTACTGCTGGGATCACAAGTGTGCTTTACCACACCTGACTCCTGTTGCTGGAGTTTTCTTCCAGCCTGGTTCTGCAGCTGATTTGCCCCAAATAAGCACACAAAGACTTATATTAATTATAAAATTGTTGGCCGATGGCTAGGGCTTCTTACTGACTAGCTCTCTCTCTCTCTCTCTTTTTTTTTTTTTTTTTTTTGGTTTTTTACAAGACAGGGTTTCTCTGTGGCTTTGGAGGCTGTCCTGGAACTCGCTTGGTAGTCCAGGCTGGTCTCGAACTCACAGAGATCCGCCTGCCTCTGCCTCCCGAGTGCTGGGATTAAAGGCGTGCACCACCAACGCCCGGCTGGCCAAATAGTGTTTTAGTCATCAGCCAATAAGAGAAACATATACAGAAGGGTATCACCCATCAGACTTCTGAGTTGTTTCCTTGGAGGAGCTCAGACATACACAGTGGCTGTCTTCTGCCATTGTCTCCTCTGACTGAATCGACCATACCCAGGGAAGTGAAGACCGTGATGCTAAAGGACCAGCTATGCGGATTCCCAGCGCCAGATGACCTTCAGTGGATGGGTGTGGCCGACTGATCACTGATTCAGGCCTGCCATGGCATCACTCGTCCTGGAACAGAGTCGGGGTGAAGACTGCAGGAGGACCCTGGGGGTCAGCACCACTGTGGCTCTGCTGTGGACACCCACCCATGTCCTTAGCTCACAAAGGTGAATGAATGCCTCTGGCTGGGAGCTTCTGCAGCGTGGATAGTGACCGCAATAGATAGGTATGGAGAGGGCTGTCCAGGGCGGTGGTGGGCACTGTCCTCACCTCTGCTCAGGCTCCAGTCTGGGTAACTCCCTCCCCAGGCTCCATGATGACAATGGGAGGTAGAGCAGGGTGCCTGGAAAGGGAAGGGTGATGACTGCAACCAGATGGGTGGTGTCATGGACCTGCTGTGTGTCTGGGTTATGCCCAGCAGAGACCAAGGTGTAGCCTCCTGTTGGGGTCCCCTGCTTTTCCATGGCTATGGATGAGACTTAAGCCCTAGGCTGCTGGCCCAGTGCAGGGCGGTTGGGGTGGCTCTGGCACTTGGCCTGTCTCAGGGTCGAGCTGCTGCATGGCAGCCTTTCTGGGCATTTGTTTTCCAGTCTGTAAATGGGGGTGGTGGTGGTGAAGGCCATATCACCCAGTATTCAGTGGCCACTCACTGCCTGGTCAGCTGGGAGGGGGCTAGCGACAGGCTTTCTCTGCTAAAGAAGCTGTTCTTGAACGGCGTGCACATCTCTGATCAAGGACCATTTCCTGGCTCAGGACTTTCTGGACCCATTCTGTGCCTGAGCCTTCCACCGTCTTATTCTCTGAACACCCTGGGTGATGGGACCTGTGCATGTCTCCAGGGATGTAAGGGGATCTCATGGCATTCCATCCCCAGGCCATCTGAGGCTTGTTAGCAGTGAGGTTCCTGTGTATCCTCAGGTCTGTCCCCAAAGCCCCTCAGGGGTGGAGCCGATGGAACTTCTGGAATAGCTTGGATAACCCACAATGGGCACATCCCAGCTGTGCTTGGGGGTAGGATGGCATTCTCTGTGGCTCCAGAACTCCTCCCTGTGAGGGCTGGGGGGGAAACGAGTGGCAGCTCCTTTCAAGTCGCGTGTGCGCGTGCTGTGTGTGTGTGTGTGTGTGTGTGTGTGTGTGTGTGTGTGCCTGCCTTTAGCTTCCTGGCAGAGGACCTGACGCTGGAGCTGGCTCAGGTGGAGGCAGAGACATGCAGGACCATCCTTTGCGAGAGCACCTTTGAAATCCTGGATCCCACTAGCAAGTTGGAACCACATGAAAGGACTGTAGCTCTGACGGAGCCGACTCGGGGTTCTCATGGGTTCTCCCTCTTGGACTGGTTCCCAGCTGGTAGAGCAGCTGGCAGCATCAAGGCTGCTGCCCCAATCCCGGATGCCCCACTAGCCTTTCCTGCCCCAGCACAGGCTACTCTGGCTGAGCATCAACATGTGTTCCCTGAGCACACAGTACCCAGTCGTGGCGTGCGAGCAAGCACGGCGTATTGAACATGTGCTGTGGGGATGTGGTAGAATGTCCCCGAGAAAGAACCTGCTTGGTTCAGCTTGCTCCGTCTCGTGTGTGTAGCACGAATGATAAAAACCCAGAGACAGATTGCCCGGGTTCAAACTGAAGATCAGAAAAGCAAAGCAGCCAGTCAATGTGACTGCAGACTGAATACCCTGCACTCCTGTCTCAGTCTGCCGTATATTCCTCTCTAGTGCTGGGTTTAGAGGCCTGCACCGCCACCACCCAGTTTCTACAGCTGACCGGTGTGACTGCTGGGATTAAAGGTGTGTGTCATCACTGCCTGGTCTCTACAGCTGTGGCTAGCTTTGCATTCTGATCTTCAGGCACGTTTTATTAGACCATAAACAAAACATCACCATACTCATGTTCCCATCTCCTCTTATACCTGGGCTACTCTGTGGACTCTGATTCCTCTGAGAAGGTGGAATCCAGAGAAGCAATGGAGTCATCCTCACCCTCAGCCCGGACCTGCAGGGCCTGGCCCATAAGCATAAATGACAGAGATGTGACTGAGCAGGGCCAACAGGTGTTCTGGGAAGTGCATCTTCCCCTGGCCCCCTCCCCAACAACACATGTACAGTCCACTGGGGGAACCTGTAGCGCTTTCCTCCCTGGGGCTGCTGGGATATGGGTGTGGCATGACCCCCCCAACCACTGTAAACAATGGGGATTGGGCCAAGACACTCATGGCCTAAGTAGGTCACTCCTGAGCTTGCCTACAAAGCCCTCTGTGGGTCACAGTGGTGGCCAGAGGCTCTGCCTCCCTGACTGACCCCTGTCCTCTCTCTGTGCGGCCGCTCTATGACAGTCTGTGCAAGTGGG